GCCTAGCGTCGGCAGCAGAAAAAAGTAAATACGACAGGCTCGCACCACAGTTTTAATGTAATGGTGACGTCATTCGACCAGTTCTAGCTCTGCAGGTTCGGTGACGTCAGCACTATACCACAAGAGGGCGGGGAAAAGACGTCATCATCTTAAGACTTCATCATCTTAGACGTGACGTCATCTTAAGAAAAATGTGAAAATTAGCTACTGGGTTTATTTTCCGGGTAAAATGTATATCTTTGCGGAGTGCCCGGAGTACACTGGAATTTCCGGAGATGCTCCGGAAATTCCGGGGTTGTTACCGGGTATGTGAAAGGGGTAATTGTTTGTATTTGTCGACATTTCTTGGATCTAACATACTCACTGCCTCAACAATACATTCTTTTATTATTTCAATGTCACTAAATGGTTTGCCCCCTTTTCCAAGTATATGTGCTATTTTAAACGTAACAGCAACTGCAGCGGAATTTTGATTTACAAAGACACTAAAAGATGCCTGCTGATGATGCTTCTCACTTTTCAACTTTTGAAGTGCAGCTTTTCGTGATTCACCTTCTAAAGCGAAATATTTATGTTCTTTATGAGTCAGCGAAATATTTATGTTCTTTATGAGTCAAATAGTGTTTATTTGCATTCGCTTTTTTTAAAGTATTTAAAACTGTATTGCACAACAAACACATCATTTTATCTTTCTCAACAGTAAAGAAAAAATCTAACTCCCATTCTACATTAAATTTTCTGTTTTCATCACCTAATTTTCTTCACTTACTATTTGACATGATGGATAAAAAAACGAATATCAAATAATATCTTTAACAACTGTTATAAGCCGTGTAACTGTTATAAGCACGCACTGTTAACTACAGTTTGCTGAAGATCGCCACAGGGAAGCGTTTAGAGATGCGAGTCAGAGAAGCCAAAGCAAGGTGTGACACTCAAATGGGAGATCTGAAACCAACAAATTTTGTAATTTTAATTTATTTTCAAATAAATATTACATAGAACATTATTCGTTTCTTTTAGATATGTAAATTAGATAAACATTGTGGAATTTTCAGTCTTTGGCTGGATTTTTGGCGCAACTGTCATGGCGTTGATGAACAATAGTTGTTTTTTGAAACGAACTCTACCATTTCGTACTAGGTGGCAAAGAGCCGCACAAAAACCTCTTGGAGGCCGCAGGTTCCCCACCTATGAACTAGAACATTACAAAAGCTAATAGAAAGAAAGCCAAAAAAATGTGCTGCTGTGATAAAGGCTAAAGGAGGATATTTCGATGAATCCAAGATTGGACGAAATTCATAAGATATGCATAAAATTATAGTTCTTACCATATCGCTGGTTCAAAATTAAAACGACACTTCTGCACTCACTTCTCATTCAAACAACACTAATTATGTTTTCAGAAGTGCCGTTTTAATTTTGAACCAGCGATATATGCGTACCTACATTTCTCAAAATAAAGTTAATTTAATGTAATTTTCAGTTTAAAAGAAGCCATTTTTAATTGTTATTTGTCTATTTTTAAAAATTCAATATGAGTCTAAACTTCTGACCGGTAGTGTATATCTTCCTATTAAAAAATGAGCTGGTGTTAAAACATCCAGATCATCAGCATCACTGGAAAGTGGCATTAAAGGCCTTCAATTTAAAATACCTTCGATTTGATTAATGATAGTAAGAAATTCTTCGTATGTTAAAGTACCTATTGTTCGTTTGAAGTGAAATTTAAATGATTTTACACCACTTTCCCATATTCCACCAAAATTTGCACTTCTAGGGGGAATAAACTTCCAATTAATTCTCTCAGAAACAAGAAATTTTGATAGAGTTTCATCTGGTTTACTAACTAGATTATGCAAACGTTTAATTTCTCTATTTGCTCCTAAGTAGGTTTTGGCATTGTCACTATGTAATATGGAACATTTGTCTCTACGGGCAATGAATCTTTTTAGGGTTGCAATAAAAGAGTCAGAGTTAGATTAGAAGCAATTTCAATGAATAGCTTTAGTTACAAGACATACGAAAATAGCAATAAATATTTTTTGAAACGGACCTATACGTTGATTTTTGTTTTGTACGAAAAAGGTCCTGCGAAATCAGTACCAGTATTTAAGAAAGGAAAAGTCGGTTTACATCGAACACTAGGCAAATCTCCCATTTTTTGAACTAAAAATCTAGGATTAAATTCAGGGCAAATGACACAATCATGAACAATTTTTTGAGCCGAATTCCTACCACGTATTATCCAAACTGTTAGTCTTGACAAATTTAATAGTGCCTGTGCACCTATGTGACAATTTGATTTATGTAAATTTAATAAAATAAGCTCAGACATTCTATGATTTTCAGGCAAAACTATGGGATGTTTGCTTTCATAGGGCAAATCAGAATTTGTTAGACGCCCTCCAACTCTGATAACGTTTGCTGAATTATCAAAAAATGGAAACAAAAATTTCAGTTTGCTAGTAACATGCACTGGTTTGCATGATTTCAATAATTTAAATTCTTCTGCTAAAGATTCCTGCTGCAGAAATGAACATAACTTTAATTCTCCTTCACTTACCTCGCAGGATATAAGATTTCCACTTCTCTTAATTTGATTCTTACAGTTGTAAATAAACCTATATACATAAGACATTGTCCTAGAACATTAACGTTTATATAAAAATTATCATATTTGCCACAGTCCTGTTTAGTTTGTAGTTACAGTGTTTAAATTAGCTAAGATCATTTTTTTAATATTAAATTTTCTTTTACTTAATATCTATTGTTCCTTTTCAGGCTGAAGTTGATGGTATCCCAAAATAAGAGCAAGCGTGAAAAAGATATTATTTCCAAAATCACAAGTATACCCAGATGTATTGAAAAGGAATGCTTAAAGTGTGAATCTCTAAATACAGAGAATTCATTATTAAAGAGACAGGTTATGGATCTCGCTGGCGACATGAAAGCCAAATAGGAAGCTATCGAGAATATCCGGATAAAATATAAATAACTTAAATCAAAATATAGGCAGCGAAAAGAACACAAGACAGAGGCTGAGTTGGAGCAAAACGTAGTCAAAATCGGGGAATCTCTCATCGTAGATAAACATAGGCTTGCCATATACAGGGTGAATGATTTCTCGAAGTATACATGCGATATACTCGATGGTGTTTTCAGCAGGGAGAGTCTTTCCAAAAGCTTACTTAAAGGGTTAACGCGTGGGAGAAAATAAATTTCAGAAGTATTCTCCTTTGCGAACAGACAAATATATATCTGAAGTGTTTGTCGCGGAGACTAATAATTCGAAGTGTGTTCTGTGCAGAAATATACATCCCCTCGCTACCTGCCCCCAATTTAAGAGTATGTCAGTATATGAGAGAATTGAGGTATTAAATGGGAATAATATTTGTTTTTGTTGTTTCGCACCCCACTGGTTAAGTGAATGCCGTCCAAAGAAAAACTGTTTTTGCTATAAAACTCATGATACTATGATTCATTTCCCGCGTGAATATTTTAATCATTCCACTTCTCAATTCAAATTTGATGCCCCAGCTTTCGTTCCAGGGAAGAAAGAGGAAACTTCGGAAGTGACACCGCAAATTGTAGCGACTAGCCTTGAGAAAAACAAACCTAAAAACGTACTTCTGAGTACAGTTCGCGCACATGTTAAAAATAAATTTTCTGAGTGGATTGAAGTTAGATGTTTGCTGGATGTTGGGTCTCAATCATGTTTGTGTACTAAGGCGTGCGCGGAGAGGTTGCAATTAAGATTGGAGAAAATAAATACAATGGTTTCGTGTGTTAATGATGCAACTATGGTAGTAAACAAATGTGTTAGAACTTTAGTGGCAAATAAGGATAAGAGTTTTGTTAGAGAATTAACGATGCTAGTGGTTGACAAAATTACTGATCTCATTCCAAACAAAATAATTGATGCGGATGTTAGTGTTTCAGAGTTCGTGTCATTAGCTGATAATAATTTCAACAAACCTGAGAAAATTAATATGTTATTAGGTGCGGAGGTGTTTTACGAATTGTTAAGGCCAGGACGATTTTATGCTCAAAATTCCAATTTGTTGCAAAATACTGTGTTTGGTTTTGTCGTGAGTGGCGGCGTTGATCAGGTAGATTTTGGTCATGTTCATTGTGGGCTGATTCTTGACGATGACTTGAATAAAACTTCAAAACGATTTTGGGAAATTGAAAATGTCGAAGTAGAATTTGCAAAGGACACAGACGCGTCTTTGTGTGAGGATCATTTTGTAAGCACCCATAGAAGAAATGCAAATGGTAGATATGTAGTTGCAATGCTCTTGAGTAAGGACCCGTCGTGTCTTGGACAGTCTAAGAACATAGCTTTGAGGCAACTTAATTGTTCGTGGAAGCGTTTGTCTAGGGACTCAAGAGTATTTTTTGTTATATCTGGATTTCTTGCGTAAGTATGAGAAACTGGGCCATTTGGAAAAGGTGATTGAAGAAAGTGTGCCGCCCACACATTACTACATACCACACCATGGAATATTACGCCCTGATAAATTGACTACAAAGATGAGAGTCGTCTTCAATGCTTCATCTCCCACTACAACAGGCCTGAGTTTGAATGACATTTTAATGAAGGGTGAAGTAAAGGAAGATGTGTTTGAAACAATTTCTCGTTTTAGAAGGCACAAATATGCCTTTACTACGGACATAAAAAAGATGTACAGACAAATCTTGATAAATCCAGATCAAAGAGACCTTCAGAGAATAGTGTGGAAACCTTTACTTGATGCTGAAGTTACAGTTTACAGGTTGAAAACAGTAACTTTCGAAATGTCCAATGCCCCCTTCCTTGCAATAAGAACTCTGCAACAACTGGCCGAAGATGATAAATATCGATATCCTTTGGCTTCGGAAGCTCTTCTGTATTACGCCCATATGGATGATGTTGTAAGCGGAGCCCAGAATCTAGAAACTGCCCGTCAATTACAACTCCAATTGCGAGATTCTCTGCAGTCATGCAGAATGAAACTTCACAAATGGTCTTCGAATTCTGATCAATTGTGGAACAGTTCATCTTCATCTGATGTCGAGCACTCATTTTCTATCGATAATGACTTGTCGGTCAAAGCTCTGGGCAACAGCTGGAAGCCATTCGAAGATAAGTTTGTTTACAAGGCGTCAACCGCAGTAAAATCATCGTACACTAAGCGTGAAGTTCTCAGCGTGATAGCTAAATTATACGACCCTCTTGGTTATTTAACACCAGTCTTGACAAGAGCTAAAATCCTATTACAGCGATTGTGGCAGCAAAAACTAGATTGGGATGAAGTTCTGCCAGATCCAATCACCGAGGATTGGAATGATTTTGTGACAACTTTAAAGTGCATCGAGGATGTGAAAATTGATAGATTTATTCTTTCGGACGAATTTCAACGAATTGTTCTTCAGGGATTCGCAGATGCGTCTGAAGCAGCCTATGGAGCTGTAGTCTATCTTCAATGTTTCACTTCACATAGTGCTAAAGTAAATATTCTCGCAAGCAAATCACGTATATCACCAATTCGAGTGATTTCAATTCCCCGCCTTGAACTGTGTGCCTGTGTTCTTTTAGCCCAGCTTGTGCAAAAATTGCGTGCATCTTTACGATTAGAAATTAGTGAAACTGTACTTCATACCGATTCTACGATTGCTTTAGCGTGGTTGAATACACCTGCGAACCACCAGAAGACATTTATCGCCAATCGTGTTTCCAAGGTTCAAACCTTGACAGAAAACTGTCACTGGGCCCAAGTGCCGTAATCTCTTAATCCTGCCGACCTTGTTACCCGTGAGTTAAGCCCTCGTGACATTCACAATTAAAAAATTTGGTGGAATGGCCCAGCATTCCTGGAACAAGGTGAGTTATCCAATGAGCAAACAAACTCCCCGCTGACGAATGAATACGACTACTCTTCGGAAGAATTTAATTCCGAAAGAAAAACTCTGACTTTGGACCATAACCTTTTGAACAAGATCCTTTCTTTACATAATAATTTTCATAAAATTGTATGTGTTTTAAATTATCTTTACAGGTTCATCGAAAATTGTAGGAATCCATTATACAAACAAGTTGGACCCCTCAAGATCTGTGAAATCCAATCCAAACAATACTTTTAAGGCTGGTACAACAAGTGGAATTTTACTGGGATTGATTGATTGAATGTAGGGTTTAATAGCACAAAGTCCAAAGAAGGACATGCTGTGCCAAACGAACGGTTTTAAAATAAGGTAAATGCATATTACAAATTTTCTTCATTAAAAGTCACACGGAATTTAAAAACTAGATACAACGTGACAGAGGTATTCAAAGATGAATAAAATCAGATAAAATTGTGAATAGGATAAGACAGTTATATACAGTATAGAAGACCAATTGCGCGTAGAAACGCAAAAATGTTAGGATGATGAGAGTCACCTAACAAATCCTGAAGAGTTAAAATAGAACTACCAAAAAAGGTTAGACGATGACGGTTAAAACATGGGCAGATGATTAAAATATGATGAATAGTTAGTAAAACTTTACAGGTGTTGCATTGGGGTGGAGGTTCCCCAAATAACAAATGTAAGTGTGTCAGCCGAGTGTGGCCGATTCGGAGACGATTTAACTCTACATCTGCATGCCGCAGACTCAATACAGGATAAGGGTTAAAATCTGTTTTTATTGAGTGCAACTTGTTATAAATTTTTAGTGAAGGAATTTGAAGTGAAGGACTTGTCCAGTAAGGGTGTGTCACCATTCTTAGATACTGAAGGTGTCTTGCGTGTAGGTGGCAGATTGGTACACAGAAATTTGAGTTTCGACAAAAAACACCAGATTATCCTTCATAACAATCATAGACTGACCAATTTAATTCTTGAAATGATCCACAAAAGACAATTGCATGTTGGTCCGCAAACTTTGTTATCTATTGTTAGACAAAAATACTGGCCGTTAAACAGTTGCAATATGTGTAGAAAATTAGTTCATAATTGTGTAGATTGCTTTAAGGCTAACCCTGTTACTTGTTCACAAATTATGGGTCAACTGCCAACCCAGATAGTTTCTCAAAGTTTTCCATTTAACTATGTAGGATTGGATTTTTGTGGACATTTCTGGATTAAATATCCAAATCAAAGAAAATGAGTTTTAAACAAGGTGTGTATTTGTGTGCATGGTCACTAAAGTAAAGCATGTTATATCGAAATAGTTACAGATCTAACTAGTGAAGCCTTGATCGCGGCTCTAAAGCGATTCTTTAGTAGACGAGGTAAATCTGAACGCATTTTTTCAGACAATGCTTCCAATTTTGTTGGTACGCAATTAGAGCTAAAAAGACCTAGAGAAATTTTGAGTAAATGTGATAATAATTCGAGTAATTTTTTATGCGAGGAACGCGTTGAGTGGAGTTTCATTCCACCAAGAGCGCCACATCAAGGGGGCCTTAGGGAGGCTGGAGTAATTCTAGATTTACTTATGAACAATTTTTAACCATTCTTAACCAAATTGAGGGCATACTCAATTCGCGTCCTCTCTACCCTTTATCATGTGACCATGAGGATTTTGAAGCTTTAACTCCTTGCTATTTTCTAGTAGGTCGTCCCTCACAGCGATAGCCAAGCCAAGTTTAACTGAAGTACCTGAAAACAGGTTGAAAGTATGGCAAAAGTTATACAACAAATTTGGAAGCTTTGGTCAAATAACTATCTGAGTACACTTCAAAATCAAACAAAATGGTATTTTGAGAAAAACAATGTAAAAATTAATGATAAGGTATTTTTGAAAGAAGATAATTTGGCTGTATGTAACTGGCCTCTTGGTCGAGTTCTTGAAGTGTATTCTGGTAAAGATAATAAAATTAGAGAAGTATTAGTGAAAACTAAAAATGGAATTTTTAAACGTCCAATTGCTAAACTTTGTATATTACCCTTCTCAAATGATCAATAAGTGTGAAAATTTCAATTTATGTGTATTTTGAATATTTTAGTTTATTGCGTACACTGTATTGAATTGTTTAAATTTAAGCAGTTAAAAATGATCAACTACATGCGTAATATATGAAAAAATTTTGTGCAAAGAAACCACACTTAGTATATGTCAAAACTTCATAAATAAAGAAAAGATAAAAGACAGTATAGAGTATTACGTATAATAAATATGCTATTTTCTTTGATTATTGTGAGTATTTTAAAGATTTCGTGTGATACTAATTTTTTAAAAACTTAAATTTTATTATTATAATCATTTTGTTTTCAAATATTACAGTGAAAAAAGTATTAACTATAATTTAGGCTAGTGGGGTCCATAAGGACCCCACGCGCGCTTTTGTGTACGTAAGGGAGGCGCGCGTCCTGGCGGGTTAAATTGTAAACTAACTTGACTTATGATTAAGTTCTTTAAATAAAAACATTTAGTCTAGATTAGTTATGTTATGCTGTTGGATGTGAATCCTTTAAGTCTCATTTACTTTTATCTTTCAGCTAATCAAGATTATTATTGCAGTAATAGTAAACGTGCTAGTAATTTTAAAATTAACTTAAGTCACTTCTACATGTTATATCTAGTAAATTATGNATCTCTTGTTCTAATCGAGCAATTCTCTTGAAATTTTCAGCAAATGTGCATAACATCAATCTATTCAAAATAGACTATTATTATAAATCCAATGCATAAATTAAAAATTTTACAAAAAAAAAATTACTCAAAATTTTATGAAAAATTGATTTCCTCCATTTAAGACCACCTAGAAAATTTTGTAATTGTTTCAAAATATATTCCTTAGTCTAAAATGTTAATTTGAATATTATCTTTAAATTAAAAAAAAAATTTTGGAATTTGAGTGAAATTTACGTGAAATATCCTGCGCGATACATGATTAAACACAAAAACAAAAATTTATTTTTTTCAAAATATTTGTTTTTATAATTTTTTTTCTATAAACATGTGGATTAAACTTTTTATATTTATCAAAATTATGATTCTCTGTTATTTATTTCTGAAAATTTCATATAGTTATCTGCATTAGATATTTTCTTACAGATTTTTAAAGTACCATAATTTTTTGATCATTTCGCTACATTTTAAAGGAGTACTGTCCCCCCGTAAGTAATGTAAAATTATTAATGCTAAATTTAATTGTGATTAAAATAACTTTTAATAATATATATATATATATGAATGATTGCTTAAATCTTGATTAAATAAATTTTTATTACTGCTATATGAGCGCGTTATTATTGTCGAAGCACTACATCTGCGTATGCTTCATTTTTACTCTCTTGTTATTGTTAAGGATTATTGTATTTAATTGTATAATTGTGTTCATTTTATGAGAATTGAAAAGAATCTTAACTCCTCATAATCTTAGTCAATCACGTGAACTTTTAAGTTTAGGGTTAAAAACAATATCCCAACTTGTTTTATATATTTTGTGTTTTAGGAATGTTTTAAGATTTTCATGAGATATTTGAGTTTTAACAAGAAAACATGGATTGCACGTGTTGTAAATTGATAGGGTTAATTATTGAATGGAATACATAAACGTCACCTGTAATATCAATCAGGATATTATTTTATGTTTTATATAGTCACAAATATTAAAGCCTTTGATTTTATTTTAATTTTTTGTAATTTTTGGCGCGTTTCAGGTGTAGGAAATTTCTTGTAAATTTTATTACTTAAGCCTTATATCGAAAATGGCAGAACCTCGGTCAGACACTTCGTCTTCGGATCCTACTGCAGCAAACAGAATTGATATTATTCCTGTGGTCAAAAGCCATACGATCTCAGAATTTTTACCCGTTATCCCTAATTTTGATGGGAATTCGAGTTTTTCCAGATTTTTCGACAAATTCAATTCCATTGCAGAATACTGCAACTGGGATGTAAATGATTAAATTTTTGCGCTATCTTTACGCCTCACTGGCGAAGCACAAGAATTTATAAACACACAACGAAATTTAAAACAAGCGAAATAATTTGATTTAACAGTTAATTCTTTAAGGGATCATAGGTTTGAGACGAAGTCAAACATGGCTTTAAATATCACTAAACTTACACACACATATCAACTGCCGTGCGAAAATGCCAGGCAATTTTTCAGCCACTTAGAAGGTATATCATACAACTGTGTACCGAATAATAATAGTACTGAATTTGAGGATTATCGACAACGACTCTTGTTGTCAGCTGCTAAACAGGGTCTGAGGGTGGAGTTACTGAGAGGAATTGCCTCAACGGCTTTAAACAGCTATAATGAATTTAAGAAGCATGCACAAACATTCGAAGAAAATTTTAAGGTTATTGAACCGCTAGAGCTAGCAGCTACTATACATGCTAAAGCAGGAGAACGACCAGATAACAAAATAGATAGCCTCACTGATAAAATTGAACAGCTTATTGTAAAATTAAATGATATGCAAGTTCAACTAAATGCACAGGGCTTTCATTCAAATAAAGAAAATTCACACAGGACCCGAAATGTTAATAATCATCTTTAGACTCAAAGAAAAAATGCTTTAAGTGTAACAAGTTAGGCCACATAGCTAAATATTGCCGAATTCCATTTTGTAATTTTTGTAACCGTAGCGGACATTCATTGGATAATTGTTTCTAAATGTTAGCGAGACGGTGTGCACTTTTAGGGAGCTAATGACAGACAGTGTCACCGCAGTGCAGGAGAGAATGGTTTTACAGATGGTCGAGGGTGGCAGTGATGAGTCGATGTTGCAGATGCTCCAAGCAATTGATGATGTCCCCGAAGTTAGGCAATAACTAGTCGTCT